CCAGGAAACAAATCAGCCAGGATATTGTTGAAGAGGGGTATATCACTGGTCACTAGTTTCGGCACGTTGGCTTTTCTGATGGCGTTGATAATGAGATGGGATTCCTCTTCCTCTAGGATTTCACTGTCGCTTTGCAAGCTTAAAGGAAAGAAATAATAAATAAGTACTTTCTTAAATCGTACTTGTCTTACGAGGGCAACAATAGCCAGTGGATAACAAATGTGGCTTTCGCTCCATGATCTAATTGAGATTTAGAAGTTGATTTTTGTGGAGGGAGGAAAAACTAGAGAACCTGGAGAAAGACCTTCGAAGCACAGGAGCCGAGAACGAACAAGCAACTCTACTCAGATACGACACCGAGCACGGGAATAGAACCCGAGTCCGAGAGGTGAGCGCTCTCASCGATACACCACCCACACTACCCCTCTTAGTGACGTGAAGTGAAAGATATATGAGATGGAAGTGAATGAATAAAAGAATGAGAGAGAAATAACTTACCCAGCAGACAGTCTTTCTAGTCCAGCCATGAGTAGAACAGATTTCACAGCTCGAAGACCAAAATCATAATGATCCTAAAACCACCAAACTCCTACAGTTAGCGTGACATGGATAGATGATACTAATAATCTAACGTGACAACATGGCGGCAGCAGGGRAAAAAATACCAATAGAGGTTTTGCACCATCACGTGCTCACGCCAATAATACTGCTTGGGCTGCCTGGTTAGCCCGGGGGGGGGGGGGTACTCCCTTATATTCGCTATACGGGTACGTGCCGTCAAACAGGGTATGGTTTGGAGCGATTCCACTCTGGGACAGGGTATATGAAATCACGCTCTCTCCTCTCTGGAACAGGGTATCTATTTTCACAATACAGGAACTCGGTATGGGTTTCAGCGATCTTGCTCTGGAACAGGGTATGAATKTCATCGTTTTTATTCCGGAACAGGGTCAGGGTTCAGAGGACTCAGCGGCATATCCCTACAATAAAATCCCTTTTCTCTCGAGAATTGAATTCTTCCTTAAGAAAAAGGGTTGTATTGTATCTGCCCCAAATGTTTCTGCCATCTAACATGGCTGCCATCACGTGTTGGTGCAAAACCTCTATACTCGTAACAATCCACAGACCTTGCGTGACAAGATTGCAAATAGAAAGCCAACAGAGAGTAGGGTGACTAACCTGTTGTGACAACTGTTTACTGGACAGTTGATACAAATTAAAGACCTTGCGTGACAACATGGCAGCATTGACGAAGCCTTCAGAAAACAGGATGTTTTCTGCGATAAGGGCGAAGTCAGGAACCATCATTGAAACAGGACGAAATAATGCCTTTAAGTTATCTGGTAGCTCTACTCGACCTGCATATCTGTCAAATGCAAATTTAAAAATTCATTGGTAAATAAATAAATAAATACRATATTTTTTCAGACGTATATTGGTCGTAATTGCTGGGTTTCAATCAGAAAAAAGTCTTTGAGTTTCATTATCTCAAATGRTGATCAAACGCTGGCCATCATGTGCTGTTAGCCAGAAAGATTTTATACACCCCTTGCAGCACGTCGGAATGCAGCTTAATTTGGAGGACATAAAAATAGGTTTCCAATTTTYAGGAGATTGAAATTCTTTTGTTTTGTCCTCCAAATTGAGCTGCTTTGACGACACATGCAAGGGGTCTATTCTTCGATTGCACGTTACGTCATCGCGGCCTCTCGGGGAGCGTTGGTGCCCGATTCAACAAAGGATTTCTCATTAGCATCCATTATTAACGGAACCAAGATGGCCGCCATACTTTTGTCTTTTAACTCTCTTGAGAATGCTTGCAACCCATGAATAGAAAACCTGCGCGATTCAGCTGATAAACATACTACATGAAACAGGATATGACGTCAAGTGTAACCCAGCAAGAACTGTGACTAGGAGGGRCTGGAGCGAGTACTTACCCGGGGTTCATCGTTATAAAGACTCCACAGCTAGGGTTCATTTTGATATCTCTTCCTTCGAACAGAAATCTACAGAAACCAAAAAATGAATTACGTCACACCGTGTGCGGCATCCTGTATGGTGCTTATCACGTGATCTCTTGCGGAATGATTCAATGTTGCAATCACTACGCTTTGACGACACAGAATTGCCTTGTAATCTCATTGTCTTATGTTGCTTTGATGTGTGATGTGGTGTGCGATGATTGACAACGCCAAAAATGGAATAACGGAGCATACACCTTCCTCATAAATGGCTGCCAAACTCGGTTGGGACTAGGGACAATTGCATGGAAGCATTASTAAGCAAACTCTACTTAGTACGATCTTTTGTGTCAAAGTCATTCAACCTTACTTTAAAAGACGCTTAAAAGAACTCGATTTGGTGAAATGAATGACTTTGACACAAAATATCGTACTGAGTAGACTTTGTTTACTAATGAGGCCATACTTACCTCGCTTCCATGCAAGTGTCCCTAATCCCAACCGAGTTTGGAGGCCATTTATGAGAAAGGTCTAATGTGTGGTTATTTGCGCACACGCACACAATTATCTACAACAGATAAGATAACAAAAGATTACCTTGTGACTTCATTGTCCTTTGCTGCTTTGATTGAGTGAAGTTGCTGTGCGATAACCGACAAGACTTCCACATCAATACGATTAAAYTCATCAAAACAAATCCACGAGCCTGTCTGTGATAATCCAGAGAAGAACTTGCCCATCATCTACAAACAATAAAGCCAACCAATCAGTATAATATCCCGTTCAATACCTTTAATTTCTGAACTGATTGTGAGACATACGGTGGATGGTACTTCATACATGGTCAAGACAAGAGCGTATCAAGGATGTCCACATTAGCCGAACCTAATTGAAACAATAGATAACGAAACGCGTTCTTCTTTGATGCCATTAGGTTCGGCTCATATGCAGTTCGACGCTTGACCTTAGTCTAAGGGTAGGTTTCACTCCCCATCAACTTCAAACAATCATTCCTTTTATTAAAAACATTTTCACGCAACAGTTGCACTTTCAATAGGAAGAGGAATTAGATGCAGCTTAGGACAGCCCTAGATATGCCAGAATCGCGCGCGATAACACCTTACCTTATAGTCTAAACCCTCAGAACAGTTAAACACCAAACAATGTTTTCCCATAGCCTGTGGAATAAAAGATATTATTACGAGTGATTGCCAGCGCATAAACTGTTCATGGTGTCTTAAAATTAAAACTCACGTCTTTAATAACTAAGAAGGTTTAAACAATTTCTTCAGTTTGAGCCCTTATTAGGGACCTTTAGCATCASGTTTACCGCTWACCGCTTAYCCCTAATCGMTAGSGATCWGGCCCAGAAATACGCCMATAAACACGGAGAAWYATTCAGCATCAATGAAATTCAATATGGCGGTTCTTCCAGCAACAACTTCGCTATGACGCCTTGCTAGATATTGAAGATTYGACGGAAAAAGCATGACGTGGRACTGCAGTTTGAGGTTTGCGGTAGAAGCAARAACGTCGTGCTAATRGACTCTATCATTAATGAGATAAAACTTAGAAAAGCGWTTTTGTTTGGCAACTTCAAATGCGCAACTGAACTATTAGGCCTTCTGCCGCTGATCAACTTCTCAACTAACCTTTGCCAAATCTTTGACAGTTTCTGTCTTTCCTGTGCCGGCTGGTCCTGATGGAGCGCCGTACAGATGTAGATTCAAAGCACCACTCATGGTAAGGTAACAGCGATCAGTCAGGGGGGTGATGACTAAGCGATGTGAACAACCAAGGTATTCATAACCATATTCAAATACCGCATCACAGTGACGTATTTTGCAGATACTGCGGTCGTCTTCCCATTCGTAGCGGAGTTGTCTGGAAAGAACTCGAAGCTATTAAGGCCCCGTCCACACGTATCCTGAAATTTTGGTATCCGCCAATTTTTTTTTGCGGATAAGGGTTGCGTCCACACGTGTCCGCAATTTTTTGTATCCGTATCCGCAAATTTTACGAAAACGGATACGTGTGGACGGGAAAACGATTCGAATACGCTGCGTGTGGACGCAAACATTTTCGTATCCGCAAAAAATAATTTGAGGATACAAAAATTTCCGGATACGTGTGGACGGGGCTTAATACTAGATTGTTGGCCAGGAAATCTTGGCCTTCAAGCTTCCTCCTCCCCCTACACACGAACACTGTTCTTTCATAGGTTGGCAATGCGTCGAAGCATARGGAGGCCCGTTCGAACCGATCAAGGAAGAGGGTGCAAGAAATATAAAAAGAGTAATGTAGCTTGGTATGTGTYCATGGAAATGTACGGTACGCAGCACGTGCGCACGCACGCGCAAGCGAAAGCGCACGGGTATACGGTTCTCTAATGAATTTCTCAATGGAAAATTTTTGCGATCCACCATCCACGTAACATAAGTCCAGTGCAAACCGCATGCCAAATCCGATTTTCCGAATACAATTCTAGCTTTTGGACAACGAAAATAGTYATAACCCACTTACCTTGACCACTCAAAGTCTTCTTGCTGCGTGACTTGATTATTAATAAGAAGGTCCAAGATATCGCGCCCGTGAACCTCAACGGTCAGCAGTGATTCCAGCATTTGATGTTGATGCGCGGACAGGGTAGTGGTAACTAGCTGGGACAGCTGTGTCAGCTGGGTAACAAACCTATTGCGCATGTTYACTAAAGCATCTATTGCTCTGGAGTTTTTGAAGCAGTTCACGACATCACGGTTAAAATTGATTTGGCACTGAAACGAAAAGCACCAATCATGAATCTAGCGCGCCCTTTCAATTGTAAGACACCAAAAAATAGGCAAATAAGAATTTATGTGAAAAGGTTACTTAAAAGGTCAAATCCCGTATTTTGAGAGATTTTATCTGCATAGTCGAAGTGGTACTTTTCAATAGTCGCCGGCTTGCATAAAGACCAGCTTGCGCATTTAAAGGAAGTTGGATGGTGTTAAGAAAAAATACGCGCGTAAGAACAATGAAGTAAAGGAGGAAAGATGCCAGCAAACTTTTAATCTATAATTAAGGTTCTTGAAGATTTTTCAGATTTTTCATTTGTTTAGGACGTTTTTGAGGTTTAAGGTTTGGAGTATATTTTCAAATTGTATACCAAAAGATAGAGGARTGTAGCAACATTGAAGACCAAAAGTGACGGGTTTTGGACTGTGAGGTACTTACTACATTAATAACGGCCTGACCAGGATGACTCAATACCCATGTGGTATATTCAGCGTTGTTGACATCAGCTAGKGCTTTCTTCGTGTGCCTAGATTAAAGATAGGAAAGAGGACGATGGTATATGGATGCAAGGACATCTGGATAGTGGACAAAGACAYCACTTACATTTTAATGGTTTCGTACATAGCATTTTCCACATTTAATAGCCAAGACTCTACATTCCCACGGGCACGAAGTGTTCTACAAAGAAACATTGCAATAAGTTAAACTTCGTTCTTCTAAAAAACTWCTTTTACTTTTACTAGAGGGGAAAAAACTATCGTCCAATAACCAGACTAAAATCATGGGATAATAATGGGAGTTTTAGCAGTGCTTCTCCACAGAAGGGTTCTTCTTCCACTGAAACCGATTGGAAATTAGAGGTTAACTTTTGCGGAGGGAGGAAAGCCAGAGAACCTGGAGAAAAACCCTCGAAGCACAGGAGAGAACCAATAAACGACACCAAGCACGAAAATGACACACTGGTCGCATTGGTGAGAGTGGGACGTTTTCACAGCTACGCTCTTCCCTTGTATCATGGCATTAGTGCAGTTTTCGTATGTGAAAAGATCAAGGCACGAACACGGACGTGACACAGCAAGAGATACGCCAGACCAATCACATTGCTCGAGAATTTACTCTCCACCCAATCAAATACCCGGAACACCGCATAAACACGGCGCGGACACGGTCACGCCAAGGTCACGGCATTGCAAGACCAATCACAATGCGCGTGGGGAAAAATCAGCCAATTAAAATTCTAGAAAACATCACGGTCACGGCACGTCACGCTTACGGAACTGAGCTTTTCACAGTCATACGAAAACTGCTCTAGCTTGAAGGCACCCTAACCACTCTGCTGTTTTATACCATTGTACGCCTGAGGTCGTAAGATGCTTATCCAGATGAGAACAAAATATGAGGGTGCAATAAACCATTCCCGGGAGGCAGCATAATGTCTTGACTTAT